GCGTTCCGGAACGCTCTGAGAGCGCTCCGGAGCGCTCTGGAGCGATTTATCCCGATCCTAGCCCTGCTTTACCTTCCCAGGGGACCCGCTTCTGATTCGCAGTCGGTGTTGCTGGTGCTCCTGGGGCCTCGTAGGGGGCCCCTGGCGGCTGGCAGCTGCAGACGCAGTCCCGTCGCCGCCCTGTCACGGTGCGAAGGGGTCCGGGTCTCTCCTTTTCTCCTCCTCCTCCTCCTCCTCCTCCTCCTCCTCCTCGTCCGTCCCCGTCCTCCTCCTCCTCTTCCTCCTCCTCCCTCTCCCCCTCCTCCCCCTCCTCCTCCTCCTCCTCCTCCTCCTCCTTCTCAGGGCCCGCTTCGATCCGATATGGAGCCCATTCGACATCGGTGTTTCGGCCAGCGCTCGGCGGCCCGAGGCGGCCGGATTGCTTCCGTGGCCGCGTGGTTGCGCACCCCGACGCAGCCGAGCAGCTTTGATTTCAATAGGGGGCCACATGTGAACCCTACCCCTGCCCCCCACGAGTTCTGAGGGGGAGGGTGGGGTTCACTTCGCTCGGGAGGTTCCGAGCGCAGCCTGCAGCTGTGGCCGCGTCGCTGTGCACCCTGTTGCAGCCGAGCAGCTTCGATTGCAAGTCTCACCACCCACCAAACCACCCCCAACCCAACCCGAAGGCTCAGATGTACCCTCGATTTCCAGGGGGGGGGTCGGGAAACATCGGAAAGACACGTGTGGGACCCTTACCCCCCCCAACCCGAAATTCGGGTCTTCGGGTTGGGTTGGGGTGGTCTGGTAGGTACTCCAGAATTTGTAATAAAAGGGAGGGGGTCTGGACCCTCCAAGACAAGCCATTTCAGACCTCCCCCGTGGGAGAACCCTCCAAAACATCGTCCCCAGACCCCCCCCAGGCCCTCCAAGATAGCTTGGAAGAGACCCCCCTCCCTTTATTACGAAATCTTGAGTAGTCAAAGGCCGTGCCGGTGTGGCCCGATCTTGGCGGGCGCTCCGATCCGATCCGATGTTGGGCGATTCGGCGCGCGGACGGTTCCTGGCCGTGGCGGGGAGTCATCCCTAAGCGCCGTCCGGGGCAACCGATCTTCGGGACCTCGGCGGGCAGTGGGCATGGGCACATTCGGGTTGGGTCATACACGCATGTAGATGCACACTGCTTACATATACATACATGTGCAGATCTGTAAGTCTCAATACGTGTACGTATAGGTATGTAAACGTATCTTTTATGTTTATGCCATACACATACACATATATATATATTAATATATATATATATATATATATATATATATATATGACAGAGACGCCTACGGCGAACCACCGTCGCCCGATGTTGTTTTGGAAGCGCCCATGTGGCCGACAGTTGGGCCAGAGCTTGGCCAACCTATCGGACATTGTGTTCCCCAGCCGTCGTTGAAACCTTTCGGCGAACACGTGAGGAAGAGGATAAGGAGGAGAAAAAGGAACATGATGTAGGAGGTGGAGGAGGAGAAGAAGAAGAAGAAGGAAAAGGAGGAGTAGGAGGAGGAGGAGGAGGAGGAGGAGGAGGAGGAGGAGGAGGAGACCTCTTGGGAGCCTCTTTGGGCACTCTTGGAGTCTCCTGGAAGCTTCCTGGGAGCCTCTTGGAGGCCTCTTGGGGGTCTCCTTGGGCTTCTTAGGAGCTTTCGGGGGCTTGTTTGGGGCCTCCTTGGCCGTCTTAAGGCGTTCCTGCGCTGTTTGACGCGGTCGAGAGCCGTCTTAGGGGGCCTCGCTGCACCGTCTTGGGGCCCTCTGGGGGCGCTTCAGGGCCGTCTAGGAGGCCATCATGGGCTTCATGGAGGCCTCGTGGGTAGTCTTGGGCCCCTCTCTGGGCCGTCTTGGGGGCCTCTTGGGCCGTCTTGGGCCGATACGAAGCAAATGCCACAATCTGTCAAACAACCCAGGACAAACAAATAGTTTGGCCTCGTCGGGCTTTCTGGAGGACCTCTTGGTGGCCTCTTGGACCGTCTTGGAGGCCTCTTGGGAGCCTCTTGGGCCGTCTTGGGCAATCTTGGAGCCGTCTTGGAGGCTTCTTGGGCGGACTTGGAGGCATCAAGGACCCTCTTGGGCAGTCTTGGAGGCCATCTTGAGCGAACTAGGAGGCCATCTTGAGCCGTCTTGAGTTTCTCTCATTGATTATGTTTCCAGTCCATTCCAGGTGGCCGGCGCGCTGGGTCGAAGCCCCAGGGGGAGTTTTAACAGAACCAACGACCTCCTGAAGTTACGGCAGGCGCCCCTTTGATCAATCAGCAGGGGGCGTCGGATCTGCTTTCGGCCCATCTCGCCACCGTGCCTGGGCTGTGGGTCATAGGCCTCTAGGATGTTCGTTAGGATGTCGCGGGAGGCCTCCCGAGGACCTCGTGAAGGCAGTTTTGATGCCTCTTGGGAGCCGTTTTCGGTCCTCTTGGGGCGTCTTGGAGACCTCTTGGGGACCTCTTGGGGCCTCTGGGGAGCCTTGTGGGGCCTCTTGGGGTCCTCTTGGGGCCTCCTGGGCGCCTCTTGGAGCGGAAAGCTCGGATTTTCGGTTCGCATTCCCCCTCTTGGGCCCCTCTTGGGCCGTCTTGGGGCCCTCTTGGGCTGTCTTAGGCGCCTCTTGGGCCGTCTGCGGGCCCTCTGGGGCCGCCTTGGGACCCTCTTGCGGGCCTTTGAGGCCGTCGTGGGGCGGTCTTGGGCGCTTCTTGGGACGTCTTGGAGCATTGGAAGCTCGAAAAGAGGAGAATCCCAAGCACAATGAAACCTACGGGGCATTAATGAGTTTGGCGTCCTTGGGCCCTCTTGCGGAGGCTTTTGGAGGCCTCTTGGGACGTCATGGACGCTTTTGGAGCGAATTGGGGCCATCTTGGGCGTCTTGGGCCGATCGTCCAGCGATTCGGGGCCATCTTGCGCCTTCTTGGGGCCTTCTTTGGGGCACTCTCGGCCTGTCTTAGGGCCGTTGTGAGCCCGAACACGTCATGCGACAAGGCGCGCCGCGCCCCAGAGGGCCCTCAGCGAGCCCCAAGCGATTTGAGCGCTAGGGGGTCCGGGTCCCCGAAAGACCTTTCAGGATTGAGGATTGAGATACATACATTATATGTATGTGTGTATGCGTGTTCATGAATTCCTACATACAGATATACATGTATACGTATGCGCAGACACATATACACCTACACATACATACGTACATGCATACATACATGCATACATACGTGCATACAGACATACACATTCATACAAACATACACACATACAAACAGTCATACATGCATATGAACATACGCATGGTCATCCATACGTGCATGCATACATGGAAGCACGTATGCATACGCATGTATATATACACATACGTGTAGATGCTGCATAATTACATTATGCATAACACACATCGATGTATATGCCTGTATACATATATATATATATATATGTATGGAAAAAAGCTGGCCGTCGCAGTACTGATGCAGTGTCCCGAGTTGGCCCTCTTCGGGGACTCTTGAGGCCGTTTTCAGGCCGTCTCGGATGTCTCCTGGGCCGTCTTGGGGCCCTCTGGGGCCGTTTTGGCCCCGCAGGGCAATCTTGGGGGCCTCTTGGGGCTGTTCTGGGGCGGTGTGGGGGCTCAGATGGCTGTCTGGACCCTCCCCGGAGGCACTCTTGGAGCGTCTTGTGGCCGTCTTGAGCCCTTGGACCGTCCTGGGCTCGGCTTGGGGCCCTCTTGCGAGCCTATTGGGCCATCTTGAGTGATCTCGGGGGCCTCTTCGGTCGCCTCGAGCGCTCTGGAGACCGAGAAGCCGAGTATGCGAAAATGATGTTTGGCTCCCGGGGGGCCTCTTGGTAGTCGTCTTCGGGTCCTCTTGGGCCATTTGGGGCGCATGTTGGGCCGTCGAGTGGCAATCTTGGGCCCATCTTGTGCCATCTCGGGACCATTATGGACGTCTTGGGGCGCTCGTTGAGCCCTCCTGAGGCCTCCTGGGGCCCTCCAGTGCCGCCTTGGGGCCACCTGGGGCGGCCATCTTGGGCATTCCTGGGGCGCTCTGGAATCAGCCTCCCTGGCGGCGCCCGAAGTTGTCCCCTGGATCAACGCATTGATGTATGCAGGCATGCGTGCATTCATGTATGTATGTATGGCGACATGTATGTATGTCTGTCTGTATGTATGTCTGCATGTATGTATGTATGTATGCATGCGTGCATGCATGCATGCATGCATGCATGCATGCATGCATGTATGTATGTATGTATGTACGTACGTATGTATGTATGTATGTATGTCTGTATACATGTGTGTATGGATGTACGCATGTATGCATTAATGTATGCATGTATGCATGCATGTATGTATGCACGTGTGTACGCATGTATGTATGTATGTATATATATATATATATATGTATGTATGTATGTATGTATGTATGTATGTATGTATGTATGTATATGTGTGTGTATGTATGTATGTATGTATGTATGTATGTATGTATGTGTGTGCATGTATGAATGTATGTATGTATGTGTGTATGTATGTATGTATGTATGTATGTATGTATGTATGTATGTATGTATACAATGCAATGCAATGTAATATAATGTAATGTAATGTAATGTAATGTAATGTAATGTAATGTAATGTAATGTAATGTAATGTAATGTAATGTAATGTATGTATGTATGTATGTATGTATGTATGTATGGCTGGCATGCATGTATGTAGGTTTGCATGCTTGCATGCAGGCAGTTAGGTAAGTGGTATGTGTTGTATGCATTATGTAATAGCGCCATGTATGTCTGTAGGTAATACGTGTGTATATCATATGTGTAATGTGTATTACATATGAGAACACGTAATATATATACCACTACGTAAATATAAACCTGTGTATATAAATGTACTTGAAATCTATGCATCCGCCGCCTCCGAGGTCCACACGAATTCGATGCCCCAGCAGTGGCTAGTGGATGAATGCTCCCCGACAGAGCCGGGGCAGACGGGCATCCCGACAGGGCAGCCCGAGAGGCACCCTCGTCGGGCACCGGGACAGAGCCGGGGCCAAAGGGGCCGCGGGCGCAGACGCCGGGCGACGCCGTGGCACTAGCACTTGCGCGCGGAGAGGAATTCAGAAGATGTGTGATGACTTTTTTGTCGATTCTCCTCCTCCCCCCTCCCCCTCCTCCTCTCCCTCCTCCTCCCCCTCCTCCTCCATCCTCCTCCTCCGCCCTCCTCCCCCTCCCCTCCACCTCCCCCTCCCTCCCCCTCCTCCTCCCCCTCCTCCCCCTCCTCCCCTCCTCCTCTCCTCCTCCTCCTCCTCCTCCTCCTCCTCCTCCCTCCCCTCCCTCCTCCTCCTCCCTCCTCCTCCCCCTCACCTCCTCCTCCCTCTCCTCCTCCCCCTCCTCCTCCTCTCCTACTCCTCCCTCCACCTCCTCCTCCTCCCCTTCCTCCTCTCCCCATCGTCACCCACAGCTGGAGGATGCTGCGGGGCGCAGCGCCAGGCTCGCGCCATGAACACGGGCGGGACAGCTGATAGGCATAGATCGGGCCCCCCCCCCCCCCGCCCCCCCCCCCAGCAAAATCAATCCCCCACAGCCGCGAGCGAGGGAGATCGAGGCAGCCCGACCGCCAAGCTCGGAGCAGCGTGCAGTCTGCAAGGATACCCTCCAGCCTGCGAGCCATGAGGCCAGAAAGATATCGTCGGCGAGCGAGAGGGGGAAATGAGAAAAAGACCTTTTCAGAAGGCTGAGAAAACTGCTCAAAAGGCCGGGGGACTTCCGAGCCTTCTGAGAAGGCCCGCCCCTTCTCACTTCCCCCCCTCGCTCGCCGCCGGGGCGACAAGGCCGAGTTTTATTAAAGTCGGTCGTGCTCTGCCGCTTGTTCGATGGGGTGGAAGGCAGATCCCCCCCCCCCCAAGGCCCCCCTCGCGCCGTTGAAGAGCACATCGCGACGGGAGGGTCCGGGGCCGGTGTTCGGCCTCGGAGGGCCCCCTGCCTGGCCCCTGGGACGGCCAGACAGCGACCCCGGATGAGAAGAACAGGTCGAGACCTCTTGGGGTCCACGCTTTGAAGATTTTTTCTTTGGTTTAAACAATGAAACAAAACAACAACAAAAAGAAAACAACACAAACCAAACCAGAATCAACAAAAAGACAACAACCAAAAATTATCAACAAAACGACAACAACCAAACAACCAATTGCTTTAAGCAATAAAACGAAAAGAACCAACAAAAACAGACAACTACCAAACAACAAAAAAACGACGTCGGGGGCCTGCGCCTCCTCTCCCAAGACAGCCTCTCAGATCTCCGACGACGCGATGCTCCGTCCATCGCGCAGCTCTGCCTTCCGCTCTGGACTGCGGGGGGGCGCTTTTTGGGCCCCGAGGCCATCGCCGGCGGACCCGTCACGCAGAGCTGGCCCCCAGGGCCGGGCGTCGGGATCTCCGGGGCCGCGGAGAGGTACGGAAGCACATCGGGGGATGAGGAGGAGGATGGAGGAGGAGGAGGAGGAGGAGGAGGAGGATGGAGGAGGAGGAGGAGGAGGAGGAGGAGGAGGAGGAGGAGGATGTGCCCTCGCGTTCCTCGCGGCGCGGGCTCTCCACCTCGGGGAGGCGTCCTCGTTTGGAGCAGCTGGCTACTGGGGGCCTTGAGGCTTCGGCGAGGGGGCTCGTGCTCAGGACCAGTGGCCGGTGGTAGCACAGGTGTGAAACCGCCATGTTTGATAATTTGCGAATGCGAATCCAATTTGCGGCCTATACAGCGAAGAGTGCACGAAGGTCGGCACTGGCGCGCAATACACGAAAGCCACGCTTGAAACTACGGTGTTCGTAATTCCCTTTATAGGATTTATATTTGGCCTTGCACAACAGAAGAGTACACGAAGGTGACGTTTGGCGCGACACGAATGTGAGGTGCGACCCTACTACTACTACTACTACTACTACTACTACTACTACTACTACTACTACTACTACCACTACTACTACCACTACTACGACTACTACTACGACTACTACTACTTACTACTAACTACTACTACTACTACTACACTACTATCACTACTACTACTACTACTACTACTACTAACTACTACGACTACTACTCTACTACTACTAGCAAACTACTACTACAACTACTACTACTACTACGACTTACTGCAGCAACTACTATTACTACTACTACTACTACTACTACTACAACTACTACTACTACTCACGACTTACTACAACTACTACCACCACAACTACTACTAGTTTTTTTTATATTTTACTACACTACTACTACTACGACTACCTACTTACTACTTTACTACACTATGACTACTACTACTACTACTACTACTACTACTACTACCTCCAATAGCAACTAACTGCTAAACCGACGACTACTACTTTTACTACTACCACCTGCACTACACTAGCTACTACTACTACTACACTTCTACTACTACTATACTACTAACACTTCTACTACCACCAACCACCACCAATACTATTTATTACTGCTGCTACTACTACTACACTACTACGACTACTATTACACTACTACTACTACTACTAATACTACTACGACCACGCTACTACTAACTGCGACTACTACTACTACTACTAACTACTACTACAACAACTACTACTAACTAGTAAGTAGTAATACTTCTTTTATTATTAACTGCGACGACTGCTACACGACTACTACTAACTACTACGACTACTACTACTACTACTGCTGCTACTACTACAACAACCTACTGCGCTACAACTACTACTTACTGCTACTACTACCCTACAACTACCACTGCTTACTACTACCACTACTACCTACTACGACCACTACTACTACTGCTACTTCTACGAATAACCAAACTATATTAGTAGATAGTCCTAACTACGACTGCTACTACTACTAACTAAAATCTACGACTGCTACTACTACTACTACTACTACTACTACTACTACTACTACTACTACTACGACTACGACTACGACTACGACTACTACTCCTACTACTACTACTACTACTACTACTACTACTACTTCTACTACTACTACTACTACTACTACTACTACTACCACTACTACCACTACGAATTCTGTATATGTATATATATATATATGTCTACCAGTTTTACCATCACCATCTCTACGACCATCGCGGCCACTACCATGATCAAGATCACTACCACTGTTACTGTTCCAATGGTGTCCACAGCGACAGCAGTACCGAAAACCGGTCGAGCCCACATCGAAGACGAAACCGCGAGCCTCTTCTTTCTCACTTTTTTATTTTGTGCCGAGAAATTGCCGCGCCTGCTATTCCTTGGACGACTCGGCACGTAGCGGCCGCGCTGAGGAACCAGCCCCTGCGCACCCCCATACTGTCGCGAGAAAGTGCCAGGCCTGCTATGCCCTGGACGACCAGGGCGCCTAGCAGCCGCGGACAGGGACCCCCCCTGCGCGCACTCCATGGCGTCCAGGAAGTGTCACGCCTGCTATGCCCTGGTCGACGGGGGCGCTTCAGCAGCGGACGACCGGGGCGCATAGCGGCCGCGCTCAGGGACCACGCCGCGCGCACAGCCCGACGGCTGCGAGAAAGCGCCAGGCTTCCTGCGCCCTGGACGACCAAGGCGCGCAGCGACCGCGCTCAGGGGCCTCCCCGTGCGCACCCCCTTGTGGTGTCGAGAAAGTGCCACGCCCGTTCCGCCCTGGACGCTCGGAGCGCATGGCGGCCGCGCTCAGGAACCGTTCCCTGCGCGCCCATCGTGGCGTCGAGAAGGTGCCACGCCTGCGTTGCCCTGGAGGACCAGGGCGCGTAGAGCAGGCGCGCTCAGGGACCACCCCTATGCGCATCCCGCATGGCTTCGAGAAAATGCCACGCGTGCTACACCTTAGGCGATGCTTAAGAAAACCTAAGTTTTCTGCCAGAGTCTCGACTATTCTTAACGTTCCACTGTAAATCTTAAGATGTTAATGGACATGTTGGGTTTTTATTCAAGTTCTGAGACTATGAATTTCTTAACCCATGATTTCTTAAGCATTTCGCAGGGTGTATGCCCTGGACATAATGGCCGCGCTCAGGGACCATCCTCTGCGCACCCCCATATGGTGTCGAGAAGCTGCCAGGCGCACAGCAGCGGCGCTCCGGCTTCCCTGCGCAATCCCTGTGATGTGGAGAAATCGCCACGCCTGCCGCGCCCCGCAACCCTGGGAATGATAGGGACCGCGGTGAGGGACCACCCCCGCGCACCCCCTGTGCTGCGAAGAGAGTGCCACGCCTGCCACGCCCCGCGACCCTGGGACGGATAGGGACCGCGGTGAGGGACCACCCCCTTGCGCACCCCCTGTGGTGTGGAGGAAATTCCACGTTGTGTGTATGCGTGCTGTATGTGTGCTGTGTGTATGTGTGCTCTCCGGGTCTGTGTATCTTGCGTTTGTTTATCATGCGTGTACGGTTGCATACGTGTGTTTCATGCGTGTGTCGTGCTGCGTCAGACTCATGTGCGAGGGAGGGGTAGTGGGCGCTACACTATGGATAGGGCAATGGTGGTGGGACAGAAACAACGAATAGAAAGAATAGGGTCACTAAATAACACACACACTGGGAGCGCTAGATATATATATATATATATAACATCAATTCGTCATGAGTGCCACGGATGGGGAGTGGGGAAGATAGGGTGCGAGCGAGTGCACACACAGGCATGTTGCGTTGAGAAGAGGGCCGGTATATACAGACCGCGGGGCACGGATGACAACTAAAGGGGGGGTGCGACCAACTCTCTTAGAGATGAAAAACCATAGCCCCACGAGACATGTGCGGAAAAGACACGACCAGAGCCCGAGATCCCAGCATTCTGCGCCGCATTTTGATCCGCATCGATGCGTGATGGCCCTGGGCCCCGACACTGGGCAACGACGCCTGTGCGAAACAATTGCAACGTCCCGGATTCTCAGGGTCGTCCGGGGCGGAGAGAGGAGAGGAGGAGAGGAGAGGAGGCAGAGGACAGGAGGAGGAGGAGGAGGAGGAGGGAAGGAAGAGGAGGAGGAGGAGGAGGAATGCCCTGGAGCCTGGGGCCTCATTGCTGCACGAGCCCTGAGCCGCTCCACCTGCGTGCTCAAAGAGGGCCGGCGGCGGAGCGGACCGCTGGATGTTCCTCTGCCCCCTTCTGGGCCGCGGGACATCCACGTTTTGCCCTCCTCGGGCGCGCCCTGCCGTGCAGAGAAGGCCTGCAGCCCACTGGGCTTCGGAGGCCTTCTGCATCACCCCCCGCCTCCTCCCTCCTCCTCCTCCTCCTCCTCCACCTCCTCGTCGTCCTCCTCCTCCTCCCCCTCCTCCTCCTCCTCCTCCTCCTCCTCCTTCTCTTCCTCGGAAAATCTCCTCTAGCCTCGGCACTGCTCACCTCCCCCCGAAGCCCCGACGTCGCGACGTGGACTTGTACCTCACAGCGTGGACCCCCGGCCTCTCGTCCCGGGCCGCCTTCTGAAGGCCCCTGGGTTGGTTTGGCCACAAATCATGGCAGCCTTTGTGTACTTCGCAAGCCTGTCTCTAGCGTGCACTAGCGTCGATTAGCGTCTGGCACTCGATGAGATAGTGCCGATTTAGCGTCGATGAGCGTCGATTAGCGTCGATAAGCGTCGATGAGCATCGATTTAACGTCGACCAGCGTCGATGAGCGTCGATTCAGCTTCGAGCCAGCAAAATGGTCTGGGAGGGCCCCATGAGTCGCCACCGAAGGCTCGGCAAGGGCCCCCAAAAGGGCCGAAAGTGCCCCACGACCCTCCGCCGTCGTCTTGCGCTCGCGGCAAGAGGGGCCTCGGCCACGCGGCGCGCCGATCGCTGCGGCCAGTGCAGCTTCAGCGTTACGTCGGGCATGTCCCTCTACAGGGGGGAAATTCAAACATAGTTTTAAAAAAATATCCCAGTGCGACCCTACCAAGGAGTTGGAGGATCTAGGAAAGCAACATCTATATGAAGCTAAGCTAAGCTAAGATGAAGCTAAACTCAGATGAAATAAGCTAAGCTAAGATGAGATAAGCAACGCGAAGCTAAGGGAACGTCACTGGGGGAACCGCGGGGCGGATACTGGGGGAACCGCCCGGGGTGTGCCCCACTGCCTGGACCTTTAAGCTACGAGGTAAGAACTCTTCTAGGCAGAGCCCAGGTAGGGAAATAGCCTTGTGGCGATTTTTCGATTCTTGCTGATTGTTGTAATAGTTTGATGATGTTTATCATTTGTCATCGAAGATCCCCTGTAGGAGGACATGCCCGACCTAACATCAGCGGCCTGCGCGCTTGGGGCCGTCCCCGCCGCGCGCCATCGGAGAGTCGGCTTTCAGGCCACAATTCGGCCTTCTGGCGGCTGTTCGCATCCCGAGGCAGGGAAACACTCAGGAGCCAAACCAGGAGGGAAGGATAGACGCAAACAAACATTAACGAGTATGATCATTCAAATGTTATTGAGCATGGGCAAGGCAGGGGGATACGGAATCATTGAAACCTGTAACAATCTAGGGACTTCTGGTATTTGTGTCTCCTCATCTGTGTGCCCCTAGGCCGCTTTACCAAAGGACGCCTTTGAACCCCCTCCAAAAAAGTACGTTGGCAAAGACGAAGGCCTTCATGATGGCCTCGCCTGAAGGAAGGCCCCAAGCAGAGCAGGCTTGAGCCTATATGCAGTAGGGTGTTAGAGGACCCCGTCGTCGCAGTAGTACTCGTGACGAGCACCACCGTACCTGTGATCCAACAACTTTGAAAGCAGGGCGAACGGCGAACCAGCAACCTCACAGGGAAGGGTCTGGAGCCTCCCCGGCATCGTGGAGTGATGATGGCGGTCGGATGGGGCGCCCTCTGCCAGAGGACCTGGCATCGCTCGGACGTGTGCATTTTTTTCTCGGCGAGGACCATCGAGGAGCATCCTTGACCATTTGGCGAAAAAGCCACGCACGAGACCAAACAAAAAACACAGGGAATGGACGTCCGAGCGATGGCCAGAGGACGCGCTTTTGAAGACCCCCCCCTAAACCCCCCCCACAGACTCGGGGGCGCCCTCCGAGAGCCCCCCCTCGCGAGGACGCGGAGGCGGCCCTCGCGGGCAGCCTGGCGGCCGTGCGGCAGGCCCGGGCCGCCGAGGCGCTGCGGGACGCGGGCCGGGCCGCGGAGGCGGACAGCGCCAGGCGCTGCTGCGCGCAGGGGGGTGGCCCTTCGCCGGAGGGACCTTCTGGTGCGGGCTCGAGGGGGCGCTAGAGACCTGGAGATCCAGCGCGTTGAAAAAGCAGGGGGCCACATGCGAACCCTACCCCCCTACCCCCCTCAGAAATCGTGGGGGCAGGGGTAGGGTTCGCATGTGGCCCCCTAAGAAGTCAAGACGAAGACTTTTCGCCCTTTTCGGCCTCTATAGAGGCCCTCGCCGGGCCCCGGGAAACTGCCAAACAACGACGCAGGATGAAAAAAACCGTTCCCGGGGGAGGGGTCGGGACCTCCGGCGCCCGCCGGGGGCCCCGTGCGGAAAGAGTCTCCCGGATCCGTGGAGAGACGGGGGGTCCCTGCAAACGGGGGTCAGCCAGAGCTCGGGACGTTCCCAGACCCCCTCGAGTAATGAAAAAATCATGACGGGAGGTTTTTCCTAATTTTCGGCCTCGGGGGGCCCTCACCGGGCCTCGGGAGTGGCAAAAAACGACTCAGGATGCAAAGCCGGTCATGGGGAAAGGGTCGGGACCTACGGGGGTCGACGTAATGAAAAAATCATTACGTCGGGGGTCTGGGGAGCTCGGGACGCTGCAGGATCCTGCAGGGCCAGCGCTGCACCGACCCCCGGCTTGGGCGCAGGATCCTGCAGGAGTTTGCCGGAGCCTGCAGGGCCCGACTGGCCCGAGTCTGCTTCGACCCGGGTCAGAAGAGCCCCGAGGGCACTGCAGGGGCCCCGCCAGCGCCGGCTGCCGCGCTCCGGGTGCTCGGGCCTGGTCCCCACAGCGCCCCCCCGAGGCCGCGCACCGGAGGTCCCTCTTGCCCAGGGTCACTCCTTGCGTGCAGCCGGCAGGCGCGAGGTGGAGCTCTGCATGGAGACCTCGGGCGCCCCCCCATAGAAGGTCAGACGGGAGTCGTTTGGCAGTCTTCGGCCTCTGGGGGCCCTCGCCGTGCCTCAGGGCCGTCAAAAACTAGTCGAGGTGAAGAACGTGCCTTCGGGAAAGGGTCGGATTTCTGGGGGCGCCGCATTGCGAAATTATGACACATGTCTGGGATCAAGCAGTGGCGAAGCGTCCCGGCTCGCCTATAGCCCTACCAAACAATGTTCTAAGAATTTGTTGTGGTTTCCACGAAATGTTCTTAGAACATTTCTGGCGGAGTCTGTCTTGTTTTCACGCATCGGGCTTATGCTCTAAGAACCTTGTTTTTGTTATTCGAACAGTTTAGGGTTCCAAGAACATTTCGTGGTAGGACTATAGGAATGCCGGGACGGTCGGTCCCTGCTCAATGAGAGCATGTACTTCTGCCTTGAGATCCGGGCGTTGCAGTTAGTTCACACCGTGGTCGAAAAGCGGCCGTATCTGGCACAATCCCGCTTCGTCTCGCTTGGCCCGCTGAACCCGGCTTTATCCAACCTCGCCCCAGGCTGATTTGGTTCGATGGCCCGCCCATCGGGTTTCAATAGATCCTAACCGTTCCCCCGGAGACCTCCTGTAGGAGTAGCCTCCACATTCGGAGAAAAAAAAACAGTCGAGCGCCGAGCCCGCACGGCAGGCTCGCGCTTGGAGGGCAAAGTCCACCTGCTTCTCGAATCTTGAAGACCAACATCTGGGGCCTTTGCCAAACATCGCTCTCGTGACGAACCAACAACATAGACCCATACCCATAAGGGGATCGGAGAGGGCTATGGGTGCGTGTTGTCGGATGGGGGTCCCCGCTCGAACGGGAGCGTTCCCCAGGGTCCGACAACCCGCACCCATACCCATAGCCAGTCCTCCTCCCAACGACCTCCCTATCGGCCTATGGGTATGGGTGTGTGTGTTGACCGTTCGTCATCTCGCCTTCTGGCCACAAGCGTCTATGGACACGGGGGGTGTCGCTGCGTAAATGGACGTGTGGATATGCGTCGGTGGACAACGCAGCCGTTGTGCTCGGCGCAGTACAGTGTCGGAGAACGGGCAGATAGATACCTTTATGGGGCCCAGATCCCCGACGTCGTGATTTGTTCAGAGCGTCCACTCCCAAAGGTCTGGACCTCTTCCCGGGGACCAGTTTTTTCATCCTGAGTCGTGTTTTTTGACGTCGTGTTTTCGCTTCACAGCGCGAGGAGGTCTGGGTCGGGCACCTCCTCTGCGACCTTGGGCCAGAGGCCGTTCGGCGACCGTCGTGCTCGGGCCCAACCTCCTCCTCCTACTACCTCCTCCTCCTCCTCCTCCTCCTCCTCCTCCTCCTCCTCCTCCCCTCCTCCTCCTCCTCCCCCTCCCCCCGCCCCTCCTCCTCCTCCTCCTCCTCCTCCTCCTCCTCCCCTCCTCCTCCTCCTCCCCTCCTCCTCCTACTCCTACTCCTCCTCCTCCCCCTCCTCCTCCTCCTCCACCCCCTCCCCCTCCTCCCCTCCCTCCTACCTCCCCTCCTCCTCCTCCTCCTCCTCCTCCTCCTCTCATCCTCCGCCTCCTCATCCTCATCCTCATCCTCATCCTCCTCCTCCTTCTGGAGCGTGTGCTGCTCTAGAGCAGGCCCCTCCCGGTTCCTCCAAGCCTGCGCCAGAGCCGCCTCGCGCCGCTGGCGCGGGCGCTCGGGGTCCACCGGGCGGGGGGCGCCGTCTCGGGCCCCGGAGGGGGGGGGGGGGGGGGGGGGCATCGCAGCGGGGGGGGGGTGGCCAGCGCGGCCCGCGGCGGCCGCGGGCTCCCTTCTGAGCACTCCTCCGGCGAGGGCCTCTCGCCCTCGGCACTCGAGGAACAAAATAAAAGCCATCATGCACATAAACCTCAAGAGGCCCCCAAGACTGCCCAAGAGGCCCCCGAGACGCCCAAAGAGCGCTCGAAGACGCCGAAGATGACCCCAAGACGGCCCAAAAGGCCCCCAAGACAGCCCAAGAGGCCTCCAAGACGCCCCAAGAGCCTTCCAAGAGGCCTCCGAAGAGAGCCCCAAGAGGCCAAAATCGTTGATTTTCATTGGTTTTTTCGATGTTTTTTGTGTTCTGGCTTTTTCGGCTTCCGGACGCTCCAAGACGGCCCAAGAGGCCCCCAAGACCGCTCCAAGACGGCCCACGAAGCTCCCAAGACGGCGCCGAAACGACCCAAGAGAGCCCTCAAGACGGCCCAAGTGCCGCCCAAGACGGACCAAGAGGCCCCAAGACGGGCCCAAGAGGGACTCAGGAGGGATACCGAGAACTCAAAAATGGAGCCCTCCGTCCCAGAAGGCGCCCAGGAGGTCCCAAAGAGGCCCCAAAGGCCTCCAAGAGGCCCCAAGATGTCGCCAAGAGGCCCCAGGAGACTCCCAGGAGGCCCAAAAGAAGCCCCAGAAGGCTTCAAACATGTCTCCCAGGCGCCCCCGAACGGCCTCTCAACAGACCCCAAGAGGCCCCCCAAAGAAGCATCTTGACGACGACCCTATTTCGCCCCATCGAGAGACGACCCCCAGGGAACTGCTTCACCATCAAAACTCCCCACACAACGCGTCCGAACGACACCCGCCCCCAAGAGCGCAACATGGGCAACGAACACACAGACAAAAACCAGCGATGCCATATCACGGGCCGGCGGAATGAGCGAAGCGATTCAATAAAAGCCATCATGCACATAAACCTTTGGCGCTCCGCGCAGATTTCTTCGCTGGGAGCCCCTGGGGGGCGCCTCCCGCGCCGCCCCCAGCGCGCTCCGCGCGCCAGGGAGGAGGTTCCCGAGCGGATCCAAGATATCCGCGCGGACAAGCGACATGTTTTGCTTGTGACGTTCTCTGTCCCTCCAGGCACGGCTCTCCCCCGTGCGGAGAAAGGAACAGAACGGCCGCGGCTGCACCAACAGAAGCCTGCGGACGCAGAGTCGCCCTCGACCTCCGCAGCTCCCGCGCCCTCAGCGAAGGCAGGCGCCGCGCTGCCGCGGCCGACGCCGCCGCCGCCGCCGCGGCCGCGTCGCCGTGGCCGTCGTCGAGGCGGCCGCCGCGGCCTCCTCGCGGCGGCGCCGGTGCGCGCGGAGCGGTGCGGAAGGTGCCGAGGTCGAGGGCGAGAGGTCCACGGCGTGGGGGCTCCGGAGTTTTCCGTGGTCGGCCGCGGGCTCCCCTCTTGGCGTTGCTCCTGCAAGGTCCTTGTGCCCTCAGCACTCGAAGAAGCTCGGGGGTGGACAGACCTCCTACCCTGACACGTCGATTAAGGAATTGGCCGTTTTCGGTTCGCGAGAGGGCGTCGCAGCCGTCATTTTTGCGGGTCCAGGTCCGTCGGTTTCGGTCCCAGGCCGTTTTCACTAAAGGGAGGTTTACTAAATGGAGGTTTGTCCACCGCCGAAAAGCGCCATGAACATAAACTTTTGGCGCTCCGCGCGGGTCCTTGGAGGGCGAGAGGTCCACGGTTGGGACTCCAGGATGTCCGTGGTCGGCCGCGGGAGCCCGTCGGGAGAGGGCACCGACGGGTAGGGAGGCTTCTGGAGAGAGAGAGAGAGAGAACAAAAAAAAAAGGAGAGCTTGTCCTGGCCCCCGTGCGGAGGTTTTTGTTCGTTGGTGTGCAGACGCAAGTGGGAGACAGCCAAGCATAAGCTGGAGCTCGGAGCACGCTGGAAACCATGTGAACACAACGCGAAGACGCTGCCACATGATGTGATGCAGTGCGATCGGCCGCTTTGCTTTGGCGTTCTCTTTGGCAGTGTTGTGCAGTGCAGTGCGCTGCGTTGCCCGTGTTCGCTCTGTTTGCCTTGCTTTGCTCTTGCTATACGTCACTTGGGGCTGCGGCGCTTCTCTGAACTGATGTTGCATTGTGTTGCGCTGCTCCGCTCCTCCGCTCTGCACCGCATGGCCGTGCGCTGCCCTGCACTGCCTTGCGTCGGCAATGATTTGCGTCGCCGTTCGGGGGGTATCCTCGAGGATTTGGTTTGGGCTGCTCCCGAGGAACTCCACGGGGATTTGGTTTGGCTTGGTTTGGTTTGTTTTGGGGTATCCTCGAGGATGTGCTTAAGTTTGGTTTGGTTTGGGGTATCCTCGAGGGTTTGATTTGGCTTAGATCCTGTAGGATTTGGTTTGGTGTGGTTTGGTTTGATTTGGTGTCCTCGAGGTTTTGGTTTGGGGTCTCCTCGAGGATTTGGTCTGGGGGGGGGCGTTTTTTTTTCGGCCTCTGGAGGAGATCCCCGCCAGCCTTCGCCTACAGAACTACAAAGGCTGGAACAAGGGCTAAGAACAGCCCCAGCTCCAGAAGGGTACGCTGCCTACGCTCGCTAGGGCTCGCCACCCTGAGGTGCCCTTTGCAATGGGCATCTCCATGGGGCTCATGCTCTTGACTCACGCTCTTGGGGCTCTGTTTCGGCTACAGCTATAGGCATCTCCCCTGGATCATCCTTGGCGAAACGCCTGCTGTGGCAACGCAACGTTCCCAGGCCGTTGCAGACGGGGGTCGGCATCGTTGATCCAGGGTCCATTTCGATGGGTCGCTCCGGCTCGATCTCGATTCCGGCCGGCCCGGTCCGACCCGACTCCGCGCTGCCAACGGTCAGCTGCGGCCCGCTGCCTGCCTGGCGCTGCCTCTGCCTCCTGGCGCAGCCGACCCGACGATTTTCGGCCTCGACATGCCGCCGCGCGGCCCCATCCGACGCACGTTCCGGTCCGATCCGATTGCCCGACTCGACGTTCCCAGACCCCTCGCGCTGCGAAGAAATCGCGACGGGCGGCATTTATATATATATATACATACATATATATTCGGCCTTTGAGGGCCCTCGCCGGGCCTCGGGACTATCAAAACAGGACTCGGGATGAAGCACTGGTCCCGGGGCAGGAGTCCAGACCCTTGGGGGTCGACGCCGTGAAACAGATCTCTACGTCGGGGATCTGGGTTCGAAGAAGAAAGACGCCATAAACATACATGGTTGGCACTCCGCGCGGACTTCTTGGATCCGCGCTGCCCCCCCCCACCCCCCGCGGCGCCTCCGGCGTCGCCCCTGGCGCGCTCCGCGCGCCAGGGAAGGAGGCTCAGCGCGGATCCAAGAAGCCCGCGCGGAGCGCCAACAGTTTATGCTCAGGCCGTTTTTTCTATGGGCTGACTGGTCCTGGGGTCGTCGGCGGCCAGGAGACGCTTCGCCAGTACGCCTCCGACACCACCACGGAGTGCCGCGAGAGGGCGGCCCTCTTCGCGGCCGCGCGGGAGGCGTCGGGGGCGGCGGTGGGGAGGCTGGCCGGCCTGGTGCAGCAGTGCGGCGGGGAGGCCCGGAGGGCGGAGGACGCGCCACGATCGGGGGGCGCGCCATGCCAGAGATGATCCAACGCATTGAGCAAATCAAGACTGAGTTTTTTTTTTTTTTTTTTTTTTTTCAGATTTCGGCCTCTAGGGGCCCTCGCCAGGCCCCAGGACCGTCAAAACACGATGCAGGATGAAGACGGGTCCCAGGGAAGGGGTCGAGTTTTCTGGGGACCCCGTCTTGAATAAAGCTCGACATCGGATCGCTGGGATGGGAGAGCGACATTTACAATCCGCCCGCACAGTAAGGACGGGCAACCTTTCCAAGGCTACCCCTTTACATCCTTGCCTCCTCGGTCCATCCTTGGCCTCTGTCGAGGCGGCCTTCCAAGGCCCATGCATCCTTATCGCGCGTCCTTGTGATACGAGACCATTGTACATGGGGGGGCGGCGGGGGCTGCGAAAAGTGGCTCTTCCGGGCTCTTCCTGAAGGGGCCCTCTCGGGCCCACAAGGGGGCCGTTGGCGCCCGAGAAGGGCACCTCCCTCCCCCCCCCTTTTTTTTCCGGCGGTGAGCCTGGGGTTAAGTCTGGCCTGTCCCCCTACAGGGGGATTTTCGACGAAAAATAAGAAATACCAAAATATTAACAACAATAGTCCAAAAATAGTCTGGGGACTATTTTTTGATTTGTTTTTGACCTTGTTGGTGCATTTTTGGGGTATTTTTATTTGTTCGTCGAAAATCCCCCCATAGGGGGACACGCCCGACATAAGCCTGGGGGGGGGCGAGTGAGAAGGGGCGGGCCTTCTCAGAAGGCTCGGGCGTCCCGCGGCCTCCTGAGAAGTTGGTTGTTTTGCTGAGCCTCCCTCGAAGACGCAGGGCACTTCTCAGAAGGCGCGAGGGCGTCTGCCGCCGAACGCGCTCCGCTGCTCGCAAAGTGCCTACTCGCAAATGTGAAATGTCCTCCTCCCCTGCGGAAAGGATCGTACATTCCTCGTGGCGGGTCAAGGCCATTTGCGAGTCGCTACTGTGCGATCAGTCTGGCGCGCATGCCTATTCTGAGAAGTCCCGCCGCCTTCTGAGAAGGCCTTCCCCGAAGATGCAGACATCTGGTCAGAAGGCGCGAGGGCTTAGAAGTCCCGCCGCCTTCTGTGAACGCCTTCTCCTTCGCACTTCCCCCCCCGTGCCGTTTTCGCTCAGGGTCGGGCCGCGCGGATCTGGCTCGAATAAGCGCCGCGTGGTCCCCAGGGTTCCGGTCATGACCTGTTTCGCGAGTTTGCCTTGTGTTCGCAATGTCGGATCTCGGGGCTGTCTGACGGCCAGGGGGGTCCGAGGGCCCCGTGCAGCCAGCCCGCAAGAACGGCGAACCGGCCCAAGGACCCCGGGTCCCTCTGCAGGGCCCGTCTTCCTGCCTGCCACAGGACGCCCTCCACCTGGCCGAGGAGGAGAGGGCGGCGCTCACCCAGGAGTCGGCCTTACCCAAGCATCAGGGTGCGGGGGCCGAGCGGCCATTCATTATCCCGGGTGCGTGGCAGAACTGGCGCTCCGTCCGGTGGATTCCACGTGCTGGGTTCTCACTTCTAGAGGATGATATGTTTGATTCCCCCTCCAGTTCACCTTGTGTTTTTTCAAGCAAAGTGCCCCTGTTGTTGGGCTGGCTCCTTCTTTCTGGATGGAGCGTCT